CAGTCAGCTTGGCATTAGAATCACCAATGAATGTAACAAAATATGACTGCCACCAAGTTTCAAATTCTTTGGTGCAGTAGAAAGATGGTTGGAAAGGAGTGAGAGTGAGTGTGGGTCTTCGTGCCCATAGATTCCCTATATCATCCTTGATCATTTCGAAGGGTTGGTTAGTTATGATGTCTACCAGCAACCTGTGAGAATTGAACAAAGACTTAGAAAAAAGTTGACAGAGTCCAAATTGTTGAGCCATCAAGTTAGGCTGATAAGCAACCAAACCCGGGTTCACACCGATAATCACAGTAGATAAGAATTGGGGAGTCAAGTAACGCCTCTAGAGGATTAAGGAATTTTTCTTGTCCTCTTCTCTTGCAAGTGGAAAAGCCCTAATAAACCACTATGGGTCATCTTGTCTATCATGAAATGGGGCCATCGAGGGTGTGAAATCGACTCTTGTCAACATAATGGTAAACAGCAGTCTAAAGACTTCAGGATTTGGGGAGCCCTTGTCGATCAGGGTAGGAGTGATCATACCACATTTAGTATGAAAGGTGTTGGTCGATCCCTCCCAGAAATGTATGGCATCTAGGAGCATGCCACTAGAATAATGTTGACCACATCGAGAAAGTTCTAGCAGGGTATAAATACCCATCCTTTTCCATTGGTCTCCTTTGGCAGTTTCTAAACGTGCCATCCAAGCACGAAATTCAGGGCAACGCAGAGGTGGAGCGGTTATAAAGTTCATGTAAATATATTTAAGAGATATAGGGTTTGGAGAAGAGATGATGGGTCTGGTAGTAGTACTAATAGGAAAAAACGCCTCTTTATCATCTACATAGATTTCAGAGGGTGCATCGGCAGGAAGTGGTCCTAAAAAGGCTAAGGGTTTCTCCTCAAGAGAGAAAGGGATAAGTACTTGAGATTGCCAGATTTTGGCTTTCTCTTCAGCAAATGGAGGTTCCGGAACATAAGCTTTGTCGTCGATAAGGCGCAGTTGAAGAGCGATTGCTGGAGAGGAAGTTTGATTTTTAACATTCGCCATTGTAAAAGGTTTGAAGGAGGATGAAGATGGAGAACAACGATTGTGTGTAGTTTCTGGGTTTTGTTTTCTAAAAAGCAAGGGTTGAAGAAGTGAATAAAAATAGAAGAAAAAAAAGAAGAGAAATAAGGGTATTTATAGACCCTGGGGAAAGAGGAAATAATGGGAAAAATATTTTGTGATTTCCCAAGTTCAAATCACGTCAGTTTGTGGGACGCGTGCCGCAGGATCAACGTGAGTTAGTGGACCACATTTCTCACTAAAAGTGCAATGATGACAAACAATTAATGTCACACGTCTCGAAACTGAAAAGCTTGATACGCTACCATGATCACGTGACGTCACAGAAAAGACAGAACGATAATGTTCATTTTTAGAGAAATGGAAACGATTTGGTCGAATGGTGAAACCGACGCTTCGGAGATGCCATTATCTCATATTAGTGAAATTTGAAAATGACATCTCTGGGAGTATTTTGTTACCTTGGAAAATCTTAAGGTATTCAAGTACACGTGGTAAATGAAGATATTCTCATAAGCCAAGAGTCATCCTCCAAAATAAGGGGTTTTTGGGGAAACGGGAGCCAGTGTTTGAAAAGTTGGTTTTATTAAGTTAGAGTTAATGCTTGAAAGGAGTCACACTGAAACTGTCGAAATCGAACTACGTCGACTAGGAAGAAATAAAAGAACATATGTCAGGAGGTTAAAATTGGTTTAGTCGACCAAAGGGTAAAAGACAAGGACTTGGTCGAAAATGGTTTTAGTCGACAAAAAAGAGTTTCTTAGACTTAGAGGAAGTGTGGTTATTCTTTTCCAGAAAGAAAGTGTCGAAGCAAGGCAGAAGCGGTTTACGCTCAAGAGGTTTAGAGGAATCGTAGGCGGTTACCAGCAATTCACGACGTGTTCAAGCGCCAAATAGATGGAACTTCAAAATCATGAGCAGTTACCAGTAATCCACGATGTGTTTGAGCGCCAAATAGGTGGCAACATTTAGTGAAGCAGTTACCTCAAGATGTTAATATTAGCTGTAGATTTTATCTAGGTAGTTACATTGTAAACACTATAAATAGGCAGATTTACTATAGTTTTCGTGTGTTCACTTGTACTCTCAAATCACTTGTCAAACTCTATCATTCAGAGCATCCGAAAATCAAGAGTGAAGAGTGCTTGATGTACGTGAATCACTATTTTTTTTTATTTCAATGCAAATCCTTTATCTTTCAATTATATCTTTTGAGTATTTTATATGTTTTCTCTTTACTATCGAGCAAGATCTATACGTTATCTTCTATTTCACATAAGCAATTCGACACTATCTGTTGGTCACGAGTCACCAGTCGGCTAGTTTAGTGAGTCTCGTTTTTGTATGAATATCTTCTGTCGGTCACGAGTCACCAGTCATTCGATCAAATCATAGTGTGGAAAACCATTACAACCGTTCCCCCAATCAAAAGAAAACCATCTCCTTTGACTAATATTTCGACGGAATAGGTCTGATAGTAAAAACTCTTAGCACGCGTCTTGAGATCAATTGGTCGATCTCACAAGTTACCCTCAGTTTAGGACTCTGGAAGGACCAGTGGTTGTTTACCATTTTCCACAGTAAACAGCTGGCTTGAGTCTCCAGGAAGTTAATGGTATGCTTACTTTGTTCTAAAATTGTTTGCAACGTTCTAACCAAGTCCACTTACAAAGTGAAAATGTATGTTTGGATGGCTCAACTTTGGTGTTTACAATTGAGTATTAATGCACACAAAAGTTTACTTGTGATGTATGGATGATGTTTCAATAGAAAAGTGAAGGAAACTTGAGAGAAATTGGAGTTTTGAAATTAAGGATTTCAAGGTGTAAAAATGGAGTTTTTTGTGTGATTTTCTGGATGAATTGGTTATGAGGTTTGAGGGGATTTTATAGAGGTTGATTTTGGTCCTCATAAGTGAATGAAATTAGTCTTGGTTCTCTTTCAATGCTGGTTTACTCATAAAGTTACAAAAAGTGATTAAAAGGATTATGGTTCCCATGTGAAGAATGGCTTGATTCATGGAAAATAGAGTGAGTTTTAAGAGCTTAGGGTGTTGCTTATGAGCTTTGAGATGGAGTGTGGTCAGAGAAAACAAATTGGTATCTCAATGTAAGAGTTGATGGAGAAAAGTGAAACTTTATCAAAATGATTATGGAGCTTTATGCAGAATGCTCCATAAATGGTAGGTGATTTGGATAATGCTTCAAGATTTTGTGTAATGCATCAAGAATTTGTGTAAAACACTCATTTGGTGAGATTTAGAAGCAATGTAGCCTGCAAAGTAAGATCACATAGTTTGGATTTGGTTTGGACATGTAATTGGACATGAAATTGGACCTCTAATTCAACTCTAACATGACTACTTCATCTCTTCGAAATTTGGTGCTCAAGCGAAATAAATTCATACTCTTGATGTCATTGGAAAGGTGGCACAATCCTCAACAACTTTCATGTGGATTACTTGTCTTGAATCAAATCTACCATATAATAAAATATATAACCTATGATATCACTTTTATAACCCTTCCTACTTTTGCTACACATCACCAATTTGGAGGCAAGTTGAGTCATTTGTATGACATATGGTAACTATTGAATGAAATATTTGCTTGCTAATTGATACCGCTTTTGCGAAGAAACTTTTCTTAAATTATTCTGTAACCATGCTTGGACTTCTCCTTCTTTTCCTAACTATTCATCGGGAATAACTTCCGCCTGCTTTTCTGAACATGTCTAATCCTTTTGCGTTGCCGCTTCTACACCCTTGCTGCCACTTCAAGGTATCACAATAGCAAACCCTTCACTCTTCTCTCCCACAACTCCTTCATCTGCCATCTCTTCCATTCTTCGTCTCAACATCAACTTTACCGGTCTTAAAATTTCTTCACGTCCTCAAGTGTTTCACAAAGGTTTCGAAAATGGCGACACCATTCGAGATGATCAACGACATAACCGAGTGAGTGAAAATACATCACAAATTGAAGGTTACAACCACTACAAAGGAGCACTTTGAGATGGTTGTTATCGACAAAAACATAAGTTACAGTTGTTTTATGAAGTTCCTTTTCAGTTTTATGTGTCGATGTGTTTTTGTTATGGTTTAAGTGAATGTTGGACGGTGGTAGCTATTGATGTTCATGTTTATTAATGGTTTGTTTTAAGATTTTTGTTAGGTATACATATTTTATGGGTTTAAACAGATTGCCTGCAAAGTGTTCGATGAAAGTTCCAAACCAATCACCTTGTTGATTTTTCCGTTTCAGATTTGTGGTTGTTAATGTTTAAACTAACTTATTCTTTAAAATTTCATTTTGCTATGTATTTTTTTTAGGTTCTGTAGCCGGAGGATATGCAGATGCATGTCAGTAACCACCAAGAACATATAGGATGTTCCAAGCTTCTGCTCAGGTACATATATTAGGTATTAGTATTATTTATATAATATTTGTTAGTTCTCTATTCTGATTTTTTTTTTTTTATTTTGAAATGACAGTGCCTCATTGTTGATATATGGAAATATAAATACTTGGGTTGTTCTTCACTAATCCATCCTAATTTGTCTATATTGCAATTTTACTACTACCGCCGTTGAATCGCTCTTCGTGGCTCCAACATCATTCGTCAATGTTTATGCGGTCTTTCGACTTTCTGTAACTTTAATTTCTAACCGTATTGAAATATAATTCCCTTCTCTTTCATCTATTAAGATTTTAAGAGACACTTTTACATGTTTGATAGTTTAAACGGTTCATTATTTTCTCAATGTTGCTGTTTTATTTCATCTTCTAATTTCGGCAATGGTTCTCTCTTTGTTATTACATGAACTAGCATTCCACTAGAAATTTATCTGAAAAAGTGTTCATTTATGTGTTTTCCTTTTATATTTAATGTATTTTTCTCTCTTTCATATAGATGAATTGCACTCACTTGGAGAATTGTTTGCATGAGGCAAGAGAGGAAGCCCAAACACAAAAAAGTGATGCCGACTGAAGGGCCTCGGAATATAGTTTATTGTGTGCATTTGTTTCAGAAATTCCAACATGTTGTAATGGAAAGATGGGAGGACATGTTCTTAAACCAAGTTGTCATCTTAAATTTGATCCTTATCGCTTCAGATTCCACCAATAACACTTCTCAGCTACTTAATTTGCAGACTTATCTATTTCAAGATCCTTTTGCTATTTCGAAGTTGCTGGCTGTGAAAATATTAGTAACCGAGACTAAATCTATTTTGTAGGACACAATCAAACATGCACTGTCATCACCATCACAATGCCATTAGTTATTATGGTTTTGGTACTCATTCTTATTTGCTTATGTTTACGAGTGAGAAAAACAAAACGCAGTTTTGAAGGTATCCATGCCTTACTATTTTAACCACTATTAGTCTAGCATTTAAGATATCTCTTAATTTATTTTTTTAAAGGAAAAATAATATATATGTCCATGTCTTACTATTTTTATGAAAGACTGACTTTCACTTCTACCTTTAAAAAAGCCTTACTTATTTACCTTGGTTAATGTCTAAAACTAACAATGAAGAATATGAAGAAGAAGAAAGTGAGATAATGGCTTTAGAGATATTGCAATTGGCATGATGTATTTATTGATCATTGCTTTTGAATTTTAATTTTAATATATTTTGTATTGTTTGATTTAGATTGCGGATCTTGTGTAGGAATACTAGTAGTTCATCTTGCCTTTGCTTGTGTAAGTTGTAGGCTATTGGTATTGCATTCAGCTGGAGTGAATGAAATTTATTATGTATTAACTGCTATAGAGTCAGCCTGCTGCAAATGCCAAGAATGGCTGCCTGCATATAGACCTGCATTGGGTCTGACCCTTCAAAGCAAACTGCTATGGTGCAACTGGGGTAAAGAATGTTAGAAATGAATCTAACATTATGATCTATTGTGTTTTGTGTGATATAGCACATGCATATGAGTACTGGCGATGTTATAAATCATGTCACGTGGTGGACGAAACAAAATATTACGATGGTTGTTCTGGAAGTCGTCCAATCTCACCTTCATCAAGAGTTTCTAATCTCATATAAGCGGACAAAATACAAATTCATGTTTCCCACAAAGGTGTCCACTCTCGAGCTAAGTCGACTATACTTATAGTAGCAAAGATGCACATCCAAACGGGAACGTATCACAATACTGACACCGGCACTAAAAGATAAGCAATTCTTGTGTTTCCTAAAATTGCAATTAACTTATGCCTATCAATTAAAATATATAGATGCATGTCTATCAATTAAACATCAAAAGTTTTTATGTACATTTTGCATTACTATATCAAATTATTATTTCAAAATATGCTTGGTAGTTTTGTATGCTTAGACAAGAAGTAGTCTGCAGAATGTACAGCCCGAGAGCGCGTCTAGATTCCTGTCTATACAAAGCATGACAGACGTAATCGACATAACCGATGGACGTGAATGAAAGACGAGTGAGGTTTGCTATTGACAATGATTATGAAAGCGAGACAAGGTGCAAATGCAGGAAGAGTTGGAAAATCATTGCACCAGAAGCTGGTATTGCATTCATTCTTGGACATTCTTATGTGAAAACAAAGCAAGGTTCATCATTGTTGAAGAAGTTGGCACTAAGCTATGGATACAATTTCTTGAGAAGAAATTGTAGAGGGCCTGATGTGGCACTTAAGGTTCCACAAGTTTCTTTGTTGGAGGTTGGAGTGCTCTATATTGTGTAGAAAAATTACTAAGATGTAATTATGTATGTTTTTGTTATTGTGTTTTTGCATGTAGAGTTATTATAACTACATATATGGCTTTAATGACAGAGAGTTATATGCAGTTTATAAAGACTTTTTTTTAATGGGACTGTGAGACAATAAATTAATATTAGATATCTATATGAGGATTGAAAGTAAAAAACTATTTTTCTTCCTCCCTTTTTGGCTACCAAATTTTATGGTATAATTTATATAGACAATCACTCCAAAGGTTTACTTTTTTCTTCCTCCCAATCAACCATAAATGTTTGAAAACATTTTAACTAATCAAAAGGTCATTGCTTAGAAATATCTTATTATATTTAATTGGAGATCATCAAGGAATCTTGATTACTTGTCTACTTTTTGTATAAAGAATGATATATATTATAGTATGATAAAACATCTATAATTATAAACAAGTAACACTCCATGAATTTGTTTAATAATATTTTCAATTAACAAAAATATCAAATTTGTGTTAAGGGTAGTAAATACTATTTTAAAGTGATAAATAACAATTTATCATTCAATTCTATTAGTTTTTTGGTTTGTTGTTTATATGAACAGAGAAAATGAAACTATTGTTTAAAATATTGAATAATAGACATTTATTAATTTAGTATATACATACTAATATTCGTACGAACGCACTAATATTCGTACGAACGCACGAGTAACACATCAGTATTGTGCAAAGCACGGGTAACACACGAGTATTCGTATGAACATACGGGTAATACATCAGTACTCATGTGAACGCAAGAGTAACACACCAGTTCCGTGTGAACGCACGGATAATCATACCAAAATTCGTGTGAACACACATGTTTTTATATTTTTTGTACAATTAAAGAAAATAAAAATAAAACTTATGTCAGTTGTATTACTGACTTTTCATTTTTTTAATATTTTAAACTATAGTTCAAAATTTAATAAATACAACATTAAACTTAATTCTTTTAAATTATTCTTTTTTTGGACTTTTATGTATAATTATTTTCTACTAGTTTTTAACTAATTCTAATTTTAGATATTTATTTGTCTAATTTATTAAATTTTATAAACCGTTTTATTATTACAACTCTATCAATCTTAATTTTTTTTCTATTTTGTACAATTATTTTTTACAAAGTATGTGTTTAATAGTTTTTCTTCACAATAGTAGTTTTTAAAAATTTATACAATTATCTTGTGATCCATTTTTTGTTTTTTTCAATAATATTTTGATATTTTTTAGTTTGTTTGAATTCTCGTGACAAACTTGTGACAATTTCGCGGTCCACAACTGTACCCATGCGGGTGCATGATTATCTCACTAGTTGGATCATAAAGAAAACTAGTCTAACAAAATCCAAGTTGAGACTAAAAAACACTAGAAAATTTCAAGTATTTTAGCAATTTCAAAAACTTTGAGACTCCATCTTTAGCACCCCATATCTTCCAATCCTCACGAGCTTTTGATTCAATCTTTCCATATTATTGAAGTTTGTAAGATTATCTTTAAGTACATTCCTTGGACATGAGGTTGCTTGGATTGATCACAAATTGGCCATAAAGTCATGCACTTGGTAAGGTCAAAATACTTAGAAAATTTTCTAAGTGATGAGATTTTTCAACCAATTGGAACATCAACTTTAGCTATCAATTTTAAGCACTTTAAGGATTCTTTTGACTTCAAATCTTTTTACCACATTGAAATATGTCATGAGAGATTCTCAAAGAGTCCTTGTTTGCAAGTTTAGGATGCTTGAGGAGGAAAATATGATCATGAAAATTTGGTTAAATGAACAAGAAATTTTGGTACTTAAAATTATTTCAAAATCCTAATTTTTCATCTTTCCTTCATTTTCTTGATTAGGCTTGATCAAATACATCCATCAACCATATTCTCATGATTCTTTACTTGAGAAGTCCATGGTTGATCAAAATCTCAAAAGTCAAACTTTAACCCATTCAGTTGACTTTTCATCAGATGAATTTCAAATTTTCAATTATCAATGGATCAAGCTCATTTAGCCAATTGGGACACATGAGGGGGCTATAAGGAAGCATATGACAATCTTGAATCATGATTCAAACCATTAGATTATGTTTTGGTCAAAAGTCAATATTAAGTCATTTTTGATCAAAAACCCTAATTTGAGGTACAAATGAATTTGAAACTTGATTAACTTGAAATAATGCACACTTGAGCTTGATTATTGATGAAGTGAAATCACTTGATCATCATGAGTGAATAAGATGTTTGAATAATTGAGGAACGCATATGTTCTTGATCAATCAACCACTTGAGCTCCTTGGTCCAACACAACTTCCTTGTGAAAGAAGCAAACAAGAAAAACTCTTGCATTCTTATAAGGTTAGTGATACAAAGATGAATGAGATGATATTTTGATGTTATGAAATGATGCAAAAAGAGGTGGGATCTTAGATCAAGAATTGGGGTATGACAGTAATGTACAATCTACGATCTCTAATTTCATTATACTCATCTTAAATCTTGAACTAAATTGGATGTTGGAGTGCTAACTATGCAGGTCCACCATGCGCCACTATAAAAGAGATCTGAGCCATCGTTCATTATCAACAGACAACAATTACCTAACTATCTTCATTTTATGGTTCCTAAGCAAAGTTATAGCATCCATTTATGGTTCTCGAACTGAATAATGGTATCGTGTGGTGGAATCGACTTCAGATTCATAAGATTTTCATGATTTCATATCCAGACTCTGATTTACCAGTTCATAACATCTTTAAGTTATCGAATCAAGAGAGAATCAGCCTTTGATTTCTACATTTTCGAAAAATTTGCGTTTGTTTTCCATCTTCATCGTCAGCAACTTCCTAATATCTAAGAATCGAGAAGCGTTCAGAAGAAAATACGAAGATTTGTCAACCACCGTTTCCTCTCCACTTTTTAAGGATCCAGACCTTCAATTTCTTTGTGTTAGCCCGAAATTTTCAGCTAAGGGAAGTCAATAAAGAATGATGTGTTGAAAAAATGTTAAGTATTAAAACATTCACTAACAAGCTTCGACGGAATCAACCACATCGATTGAGAAGCTCTGACTAACCTAATAGGCATGGTTTGAAAGAATCTTAGGAACAAATCCACAAGATTAGGATCACTCTAAAACATATTCAAAATCTTGAAAAAGGGCATTCGAGAGGAATGTTAAGTTTCGACAAGACGGTTGCTTCGACAAGGTTATTAGTTAACAAAAACTTAGTAGTTTTTTTTTTTAAATTCTAGGAATTGATCAAGAGGTACGTAGATGGAGTGAACAATATGCTAGCAAGAGAAGTTTTTAGGAGTTCGAAGCAATTGTCAACGTGAAACATGTGGCAACACAATCAGAAGCCAAATTCCAAATAAGGTGATACGTGTCAGAATGTTTAAAGGGTAACCATCGTCGACAGTTGTCTTAAAATAATATAACTAGCATGCTCATACATTGTAACCAGGGTCATACAATTTCATACACTTTCTTTATAAAACTGAAGTACTAAGGTGAAAGAGCGAAATAATTTGTAAGAGACATGTATGTGTTTGCGTCCTTCTTTATCATTGTAATTTTGTTTATTTAAATGAAGCATTTACCATTGTTGTTTTATGTCATTTATTATACTTTACAATATTGTCATTTACCAAAGTTTCTCTTTATTTAAGTTTTGCATCTACTTCATTGTCATACAAACATTATATCATTAAATTTATGCATGTTGCTTTTCGTACAATTAATTTGCACAAATTGCTTTCAAGATTTTTCGAATTAATCTCACTAACACAGTAAACTCGTGATTATTTTGCCAAAAACACCGGTAAAAAAATTGGCACATCCAGTGAGACCTTTTTGTGCAAATAGCTCTGATTTTTTCGCAGAAAAGTGGTGCCTTACATACCTTCACTTATTAGTTCTCCATACATAAAACTATGAATTATGAGTGTATATGCGTCTGAGGAGTCGTAAAGAAATTCTTAAAATGTCTCACCCTAGAAGAAACTAACCCCTTCCCTATAATAATACTCCAAATTCATGAGAACAACCGACCAGGTCGATCGTTGACACTACAAGGATTTCAAAATCTGTTGGAGAAAACCCTATTGTCATAAGCCATATATTGACTTCGACGGTCCCCTAAGAAGTGGTAGTTTTAATACCACAAGTGTCAAATATACAACCACCCATAGAGGTTCACAAAATATAGGAGACCAAAGGACTCCTTTTCCTTTAAAGTTTAAAATGCCTCATAATGGTAGGGAACAACCATATGACATGTTAACTTCAATGATGGCCAACCTACACCTCAGTGCATCAACATATACAGATAATACGATGACCATGTCATGTCCTGTAAACCCCTATCTAGCATTAAGATTGGCCATGAATAACCTTGGTCAGATGGGGCAATAACCAGGGGGATTAGGATACCTTCATCCAAACATGCCATCCTTGACCAATACTTATCTCCAATATGTAAGGCAACAGATGGATGAGAGTAACCACAAGATGGTTAAGATGCTTACTCAGAAAATAAGTGTTGTGTTTAACCCATTAATTCAAAACACAAACCAAAGTTATCAACAATTGGACCATCAAATGTGAAAGGTTGCTGACTCTTTTGGTTTCCTTAAGTGCCAGTTCTTCCAGTACCTAACAACCCTCAGCCTGTCATCTCACCCGCAATAAGGGTAGTCAAAGATAACGATGGGAAAAATGGCCCTGAAGTTTTTATAGTCACACGAGGCTAAGGCGCTAATCAAGTATTGCGCAATAGGACAATTGTGTGGGGGAAAACAATATAAATAATGTAGTTGAGCAAATTTTGGCACATAATGACTTCAATATATGCCTCCATAGACCCAATTTCATATCTCTGTTATCGGAATACGTACAACAAGCTGAACTGTCCAGGGGTTGGAAAGTCCCAAAATTCACCAAATTTACTGGCGTATAAGCGAATCCATAACC